AGCCTCTGATTTCCACACGTTCGTTGTATAGTATATGCTGTGCAATCTGTGTTGCTTCTGGAACAGTGTGTGCCTCTGTGAGACAGGAAATTGAGGTTTACTACAGTAGTTTGTTTATTTAGGTTAAAATTGCGAGTAAAACTGAAGCTAACTTTTAAAGAAACCACTACTAAGAGAGGTCAAAGGTTCCAGAAGATTTTACCTCAAGTCATTAACTGCTTTACAGCAGAATGCAAGAAAAGAAACACCACACAAAATAGGCACTGCATTTTATTTCTCCACTTTAAACATTAGTTAAGATAAGATAAAATTAGTCACAATGTTTCCCCCAAAAGATGCAGAACTTCAGCACTTTGCATGGTAAGTGTTAAATGCTATCTATTTCTTGTTAGGTTAATTCTCTCTATGCTGGTATAAAAACTGGTTTGCACCAGTTCTTGCTGCCTTGCCAGAGACTGACACTAGAGCTATCTTGGAGGCTGGTAAAAGAGCAGCTTCTTTGCTTGGTCCACCTCAGGACTGTAAAAACCATTCAGCATTACATTAAAGCATTGCTTTAAAGAGTCCCGTAGCATAGTGGTTAGCATGCTCACCTTGTAAGCAAGAGGACCCGGGTTCAATTCCCTTAGGCAAGTTTCCCTTCTCTACACGCCTCTGTTTACCTAGCAGTAAGTAGGATTCCGGTTGTTAGTTGATTGGCGGATGGATAACTTTCCAGGGGTTATAAAATTGAAATAATAATAACAATGATAACTTGTATTTATATAGTGCCCATCAAGCAGTATAGCATCTTGCAGCGCTGTTCTATGATGGGTTGCTACCAAGAGAGAAGACTGTAGGTGAGTTGAACAAGTAGGTTTCCAAGTGGGAATTAACATCAAATAAAGGGGTTGAGGCAGAGGGATGGAAACACGGAGTTCCAGAGCTCAGGTGTGTGGTGGCTGAAGTCACGGCAACTAATGGTGTTGTATTGAGGGGTGTGCAGCAGGGCCTGTGTTAGCTGAGTGAAGGGGGCAGGGAAAGGAGTGGGGTAAAAGCAGGTCAGGAGTAGGGAATTTGGTGTGCATTTGGTATAACCAACAATGCAACGCATCCCCAGCACTGTACTGGAGTGGCAGTCACATAGACTATGTGAGATCAAATCCCAACGTGGAGCTTGAACCCACAACCTTCTGAGACTTACCAATTGAGTTTGACACACTGACAATGTGCCAAAACCACAGCGACAACAAGGAAATAGGCAGGCAACACAACTGCTAACCCACAAGAGACATTCTGAAACTGAATTTTCATCGTACAGTCATACCACAGGGGTAAATGTGTCAGGAAAGTTCTGTTGTAACAATTGGAAGTACATCCTCTGCTAGCATGGTCTTGTGCTTCTGCATTGAGAGCCTGACTGTGCCCTCCAGTGGTGAATGAACAGTAAGCAGCATTATCACCAACTAGAATTTGTGCATCATTCTGCAATTGCCGAGTGCTTTTGCTTGATTTTTAAAAAAAAAGTATTCAAGGCAAAGAATGGTCTGCATGTGTTTTGATTTTGGTAACCCTTATTCCTTACACCTTTGCTACAACAACAACAACAACAACAAAATTACATGTGTATAGCGCCTTTCACGACGGGGGGACGTCCCAAGGCGCTGGACAGACAGAGTTACGGACCCGAGCTGGGGGTCGGGGTGGGGGAGGGCAAGGGGGGAAGCAGGGAGATCAAAAGCATGGTCGAAGAGGAGAGTTTGCTATTTTATAGTGTACAAATACACAGATACTATGCTGTACAGTATATCCTGTGAAGCACTTTAAAATGTCCTCCTGACTTGAAAGGCACAATATCAAATGCAAGGATGACTATTGTATATCTAAGAAGTGGGTCAACACACCTATTAAATATGGCAGATTTTGTGAACCCTTCCTGTATTCATATTTGCACTTGGAAATTCTAGACTCCTTGTATAGGCAGGAATACTGATGATAAAGTGCTCAAGAGCTAAAAAGGTCCATTCATTTTTGTTTATTGAAAAATCTGGTTGAATGGCCGAGGTTCATGGTGCAGGATGCCAAGTGACAAACATTGAAGAGAAAAAAAAACATGATTAAAAACATTCTAGTATACTAGACATCATTTAAAAAAGCACAGTATGCCTCCAGAAGAAGATCAACAACCAAATGTAAAGTTCCAGGAAAATGCATTGTATCAATCATAAAATAATTTCAGCTGAAGTACAGAGGCCAGTTGTGAAGGAAATAAAACCTTTCACAAAATATAAAGTGTACTTTAGGAATATACTGAGACTCTTCCTGAATTTTTAGTTGACAAGCCTAAATTACTCCGAGTGCTTTACATATACAACATTACATTTGTGTAGCATCTTTCATGTCAGGAGGATGTCCCAAGGCACATAGCTCCATAATAAGGCTGTTATATTTTCTGCATTGCTTCAGGTGATGATTGGGTAACTTCTATTGCTGGATTAGCTTACTTGAATTATATCAATGTAAACCATATTTTTTTGTGCATTTTAACTGAAATGCAGTAAATGTTGAGAATGGAAAAAAGCAATTTGATTCTGGTTGAAGTTGAAAAATAATTATTGTAAATTCCGATAAAAGTGACTTTTTAATAGCATTTTGAAACATGTGCTTCCCCATTATACATATACTTCCCACTATATTCTCGTGGTAAGAGGCATAAATCAAGGTAACGAGAGATTGAAGTACAGCAAACCATCATGGGAACAGTGTTTCTCTGTTGCTATTCATGGAGAAGCATTTACAATACAATACAAAATTACATTTGTATAGTGTCTTTCACGTCGGGAGGACGTTGGACTATCAGGGGTTTGGGTGGACATTTTACATTTACTCACAAAATGCAAGTATGTTTTTAGTCAAAAAGATGCAGCCCAAACATGGAAAAACTAAAGGTGATCTCTTAACTCTTCACAAAATCATCTCAAAGAGACTGCAGTGGAGATATTTCAACTTGTATTCAATGACAAACCAAAAGAATTGGCTTCATAGTCACAACAATTTAAATATAACAGTTACACTCTTATTGATTGATTCAATTTAGGGCTTTACCAACTCCAGTTCTATGCAACAACAGGTTGGCTTTCACAAGAGGGAGAAAAGTTGTACACAGCAAATGTATGTCCGTCAGGTTTCTACATAAAAATGTTGCAGTGAGCATGTTAGTTTGAAATGGTTATATTTCATGTAAGATGTGCTATCTCCATTCCCATTTGTCATGAAAACAATTGGGTCTTGGCCAAGGCTGAAAATAACTATTGATTCAATAGATCCAGGTGGTATCCAGTCAAAGACTTGCATCATAATATAAATAATAAGAAAAATCGTTTCATTTGATAGAGCACCTTATCATGTTTACAAGACATCTCAAAGTGCTTCACAGAATATACTATTAGGTGAATTGACTGTTTATTTTGTGGGCGAAACTCGGCAGCCAATTGCGCACAGCAGTGTCCCACAAACAGTAGTGGATTGAGTGACCAATTTATTATTATCTTGGGATTTGTGTTGACACAATTCTGTTTCAGAGTCACAAATAGAGACAAATAATTGTGCCTCAAGCCATGTCAAATTAATGCTGATTCAAGATGAGATGAGAAGAAAGATGATCGAATAATCAGTTCTGTGCACAGCAAAAGGAAATGGCTGAAGAGGATTAAAAGAGTAGACATTCAATACTTTAGATCATGAATTAGCCCAGTAACCACGTTTGCATATCTCTTGTTTGGCCTCTAGTCTTGAAGCTACATGAAAATAGTATACATGTAAACTTAGTTTAATCCTCTTGATCAAAACCCATCTTGCTCAATGACAGACAACAGAGATACTGATAAAGTATTTAACTGCTTCATTGTAGAATCACAATTTAAAGTCATAAGAGTATTTCAGCAACACTGAAGTGGCAAAAATTCACCAGGCTCTAGATTTATTTTATTTATGTATGTGGCATTTTAGAGTGTATAGAATTCAGAAAAATCTTAAATACAACCTTAATTTTCAAGTCGTATTTTGTCAAATTTCTTTTAAAAATTTAAACCTTCAAAGTTGTGACTGAATTCAATTTTGTAGCAAATTCTGGACATAAATAAAGTAACTCTGGACCCAGATGGAATTTCTACCTAGGAATTTGGATAATCTCCTGTGTGACTGATGGACAGTTTATACTGTAATTTTCACACTGAATCAATGTCAAAACTCCAGTATAGATGGGGTGTAAGTTACAAAAAATATTTGGCCTGGACCAAATAAGAAGGTGATTTTTGGCAGGTCATCAATTCCCGCCATTGCAGAATAAATCAATGTGAATTGATTTGGCCTTTGCTCAAAAATAACAGACTAAATGTTTTTGAGTGGTCCAATGGATCATTGCTAATCACAAGACGAACATTGTTAAAGAGCTCCTGGTTGCTCTTGACTTTTTAGTAACATTAAAAACCAACACTGCTGAGTGGCACACTGTGCATGAGCTTGTCTGATATTCACACAGAGCTCTCCTCAGCACTAGGATGAGAGTTATTGGTTGCGAGCAAGTATAAATCAGACTTTCCACTATGAATAACTATATTGCTGGAAGCAATTCACATCACTGCCAGCAGCAGTAACCAGGAATGATTCACTAACGCCCATCCAGATATCAGTCATACAATAAAACTGCATTTGTGTGTGTGTGTGTGTGTGTGTAGATCGGGTGAGGACAAAGATAGGTATGGTTGCAATGCCCCTCTCCACCCCTTCTCTTTCCCAACCAAGATTAAAAAGTCTGCTGGTACTCACTGCCAAGATTCACACATTAATAATGGTCCCTTACTGGAAAATACCAGACCACTGGCTGCTGTGTAATCCTCAGAAGAAATAAATGAAATAAGTCAAAATACCTTCTAGATGGGGAGAAAATTGGTGAAGAAAATAATATGTACATATATTACAATGATCCGCTTGTTGATTGAGTCCTGTAGCTCAGTGGTAGGAGTCCTGTAGCTCAGTGGTTAGAGCACTCGCCTCGTAAGCGAGAGACCTGAGTTTAATTCCCGGCAGGGCAAAACCTTGGGTAAGTTTCCTTACTCCACACACCTGATCCTTCAAGAAAAGAAAACAATAATAAAAGTTGGTCACTTCAATCCACGACTGTTTGTAGGACACTGCTGTGCGCAATTGGCTGCCACATTTCGCCCACAAATATACAGTCAATTCACTTTCCAGTATATTCTGTGAAGCTCTTTGAGACATCTAGATGATGTGAAAAGGTGCTATATCAAATGCAAGGATTATTATTATTATGTATTATTGAATGAAAGCAATGATACTTTTGTTGGTACTGTATGTGCCAACTAATATTCACTGTCTAATATTACCACCGCCCTTTATAGAGGTTCTGAAATGTGGATGACAGTTAAATATTTGTATTTACATCAGTGCATAGCTATTCAATAGAGGTTTATTTGGGGGTAAGAGGGAGATTGATAAATGACTGATTTCATGAAACAGTGATGTGTGTGAAGGGGGCACGGGAGAGAAATTCGGGATTGATGTTTTTTGGGATGATGTATGTTCATCAAAGTGAGCAATGCCAGTACTGGGACCCACAGTATAAAAATAATGGACTGAGATATTCTTCAGACAGATGAGATTGATTAATGTTGTGGAACATTCAAATCCACGTGAGAAATCACTTTTAACTGCATTACTCACAAAAACTTTTCCAAAGAACACATTGTTTAATACACATGGCAGATAAGAAAAGGGTAGTTGGGGTTTCTCTATGAGGTTAATTATTATGCCTCGGAATGCTATAGTCATGTATTTAATTTATCTATGCCCACCTATTCACTGCATTTTATCTAGGTAGATTCAATGGAGAAAGTCTGTTGCCCTTCCAAGTGTTTTTATTAAGGTCGGGCACATTGCTGACATGTTAAGTTGTGTTAATAACCCCATTTGCCTTCAGGTTTTATTGCAACCTTTGCAAATTCATATCAAATACATCAGCACAACTGTCAGGTTCGTAACATTAACATTTACACTTGATTGAGTTTGATGGATTGTATGTATGTGGTGCAGAGATGCCATCCTGTACATTGCATTTGGTTCAGGTTGTAGACAAGCAGGTCATTTGTGGCATTTCCATTTTAAACCTGGAACTTAATAGGAAAGCACGTAAAGCCATTATTCATTAAGATCACAAAAGATTTCTTAGTGGTCTTGCTGAAGACTCATTGTACCTCTTATTCTGCTCCATTTCTCTTGCTTGACTATGGTTTGGGTTTGGTGGGACTGACTTGGGTCCCAGAGCTTATCAGCTGAAGGAGTTCAGGGTTGAGTGTCGGGTGCTTATCACTTCATAGTGCACACCATCACTAATATTGTAGTATGTTTAATAGCCTCTGAACAGGCGAGAAGAATTACAGTGTGTGGCTTTAGCAGAATGCTGTATCTTGGCAAATGATAGTACTTGCAATGTTGGCTTCTTCCATTACAAATGACCTCCTGATTAACTGATTACTCTATGACATAATTGTATCTATTCAGGATTCAATTCCCAAATTAGTCTGGCTGCCTACAGACATTTTTAGAAGAATTTCTAAATATTGGCTCGATTTGGATCTGTTTCTTTATGGAGAGTGTAACAGCTTCGCCAATTTTGCTTCAAAGGAATTATCATCAGTAGTTTTGTTAGCTGCTATGTTTCACAAGCTTTCTTATAGAAGGGACTGAAGGCATGGCATGTAAGTTTGTATCATCTACAGTAATAAAGGAATCTGCCAGTTTCCTTTCTGGAAAGCATTCATCAATTTCTCCAATATTCGTAGGAGTTCAACATCAGTTTCCACTCAGTATTTCTGTTGTTTCAAAGGAATACATTTCAGTTTCTCTGACAGACTTGGATTGTGACTTAGTATATCGGTATAAATGATGGGAACATCAGCTGTGCTTACACTGGCCTACAGGACTACATTTCATATGTTATTTTTTCAGACTGAGATCCAGCAATGCAGCAGTTTAAGAGATTTGTGACAAGCTGCATCCTTATCTACAGTACAGCCTTCAGCCAGGCTCAGAGCAAATGTTTGCCTGAATGTAATTTGTCCCTCTATACAGCATGCTGGCTATTTAACTATATAATTTACCATTGAGATATCCTATTGCATAAGTTTGAAACCAATATGATAAAAATATTAATTTCAGTTGATATGTTTTGAAAGTAATAATAGTACGCAGTCAATTCACTTTACAGTATATTCTGTGAAGTGCTTTGAGACATTTTGAAGTTGTGATAAGGCATTATATCAAATGCAAGGATTATTATTATTAATGTCTTGAAAATAACATCCTGAAATATAGATGGATAATATTCCGAATTAGGTTCTGTTGTTTTTGGGCTGACTGTATTTCTTATATTTAAAACAAACCTGAGAAAATCGCCCTCTAGTGACGATGTACAGTAGCAAAGTTACTAACAATCCTGAAGAATTTAAAGAGCTTCCATTTTTTTAACTGTAAAGTCCCAAATGATAATAATAATAATCCTTGCATTTGATGTAGCGCCTTATCATGTAATTGCAATGCCTCAAACTGCTTCATAGATTATACTGTAAAGAGGAGTGACTTATGTACTTTGTGGGCGAAACGCAGCAGCCAATTGCGCACTGCTGTGTAACAGGCACCTATTCTATTTATTGGCTCATTAAATCAGGTGTTCCCAAGCGTTCTGGGCTCAAGGCCCCCCCCAGAATATTAGGTATCCTGACTGAGGCTGTGCGAGCTTCATGCGGAGCAGTGAGGTCTCACTCCCTCCCTTCCTCCCATGCCCAAGGCCTCCACAAATGGCCGCGCTGAAATACCTTGCAGCCTTGAAATACCACAGGAACCATGGGAACATGTCTTTCTTATCTGCTCCTTGGGCTACGTGGGCCTCTGGTGTGTCTCCTGGCTCTGCGGCCCCCTGAAATAATCTCATGGACCCCCAGGAGTCCGTGCACCCCCAGTTTGGGAGCCAATGGAGTCGGGCGAGAGTGGGGGAGTGGGGGAGATACCTACTTGTATGGTGTATCAGCCCCTGACTGAGAAGCTGGGCAAGTTTTGGCCAATGTCCTGGTCAACAATCTCCTTGATAAAATTGGTCATTCGCTCCATGGTTGATTGTGGCCAAATTACCTTCCATGTCCACCTACAAATACAGTCAGTACACTTTACAGTAAAATCTTGTCAAGTGCTTGGAGATGTCCCAACATGATAATATGCCATATCTAATATAAAGATGATTTTGACTGAAGACAAAATGTTTTTAATGGGTCTGATGCACTTTTTTTACAGGGTTTCTATGCTCTATGGTTTATCATTAAGCATGGGAGGAGATATTTAATCCTGATCGATAATTCTAAAAAGGTAGCCAGATATTTGGAACTAGAGCTGGAAGTCTGCCATTCTGCACTACTCTGCCACATAAAGTACGTTTTCAGTAGCGTGAAGCTGGAGATCTGTTGCCAGTTTTAGCAACAATACAATCTGTCATTTTATTTTTGTCAGGCTCATGCTGTTCTGAACATTTCTTCTGCTGGCAATTGTTATACATGCCAGAAATGTTTTGGAATCAGAAGCTCTTTGGTCAATTAGGGTGACACGTTCAGGTCATGGATCAAGTGCACTCCGCAACACTTTTGAGAGGAAGCACTGATGCCTTAAAGTGGGGGAAAATAAATTTAGCTCTCAAGCCAACTCAAAGCAGTGAGTCCTTTTATGACCAATGGAGCCACTCCACAAGAGACATGATCACGTGATGAATCTATGTTAATATAGCCTTTTAGGAGACTTTGTATAAATACAAAATGGTGGGTTCCATGAGGAGGAAGATACAGTAAAAAATATCAATGGCAGTACTTTTGTACTGATTTTCTGGAAACAGCAAAATATTTGTTGTCTTGTAACCATTAGATTATTATTCATCATTTGCCTCTGGTATCAACAACAAATAAGAGAAGTGTGTGGTACCTGCAGAAATTCTTTGACTGAAACTGCTATTCATAATCTGTTTGAGCAATGCTTTCAGACTGCAGGAGTAAACTCTATAACTGCAGCAAATTTAGAAATACCATATGTTCCAGCAAGAAACACATTTTTAAAAATTGCACAGTTCACTTTCTGGTCCTCCCTGTTTTTTTTTCAGCGATGTAATATAATGTAAAGTGTGACCAAACAAGTCCTTCAAAAAAAAATTGGTCACTTCAATCCATGACAGTTTGTGGGACAATGCTGTGCCCAATTGGTTGCTGCATTTCGCTCACAAAATATACAGTCAATTCACTTTACAGTATATTCCGTGAAGCGCTTTGAGACGTCTCGAAGACGTGATAAAGCGTTATATCAATATAACCTGGAAAAGAAATGGTTGTGTCTTTCCAGTAAATAACACTAATGAAGATAGGATGTGGAACACTTACTTTGTGTCACAAATGCTTTCAATGCGCAATCACTCACACCACCTGACAAAGTGTGTTTGCTGTGAGACTGCTAAGTCACTGAGATTCCTAAATATACACAATTAACTAATGTGATGGGCAAATGAGGAGAATTTGGGGAGGTGGGGTGGTGATACAATAACAGAATCTCAGGATTCAGACAATCTGTACAAAAAGCTGAAATCTCATTTGTTTTTGACCTTGTCTCAATGGCCTCTTTATGATACTGCCTTGTAGCTCCCTTCCAATTGTTAATGCACTATATATAGTTGAACTCTTTGGCCTGTCTTCCCACAAATATTCCACTCAAATAGCTGTCTTATTGGAGCAAGGATTAAAATTGCATTTGGCCCCTAGAGAAAGACAGCAAAGGTTCAGCTATTCTTGAAATGATTTAGAAATGTTATTTAGTTCAAGCATATTCTTTTTGCAACTGATTTATGACTTCCTTAGCTTTGTGCATCTTCCAAAATTAGATTTTCTTTTTAAAAAAAGGGTTAAAACATTCAGATTCATGTCAGCTGATGGGTTGTTTTGTTCTGCAGCGTTTACTGTGTTGTTGGGTGGGGGAAGTTTCTTGTGAGCGT